CGACGCGGATGGAGCAATCAGACCCTAAGCCAGGACCCGATGCCATCGAAGAACCTCACTACGATGCGGAAGGTATGTTTAATCTCACAATCTATTTTGCAATCTTCATCTCTTCTTGATAAATGACTTAACTTGCAACTTAACTTGCAACTTAACTTAACAAGCAGAACCAGGACTCATCGTTATCGAAGAATCTCAGCCAGGGCCTTCCAAAAGACAACGGCTCATAAATTTTGCATATTATAATTTATAATCATAATATTATATGATCATGTAACGAGATTTTAAGATTTATTTTGTTACGAGTTCTACCTGCCTACTAAATTTGCATAATTTTTCCCTTTTTTCTTTTTAATTACTTGTGTGGAAAACTAGGTGACATTTATTAAATGACAGCATCCATAAAAAGTAAATATTGAAATGTAAAAAGTGGGTTTTGCATAAAATGCTAAAAATTTACAATTTTCAACTCGCACTAGAAACCGAACGATTCGTCTGAAAAAAAAACTAAATACTGGTATTTGTAGAAAATTTCAAGTACTTTAATTTCTGTAAACAGACCATTTACCAAAAGTTGATAGTTTTCGAGTTTTAAGCAAAAAAACCGAAAAAAGAAGAAAAAAAACGGTTTATTCTTTTTTTTTTTTTAATGTTGCGTCACGAAATTTTGTCCGCAAACCCCAGATTCGGATTAAGCACCCCAAAAAACATTTGGAATGAAAAAAATCAGAATTACCCCAAAACTTTCCTAGCAAAAATACAATTTAACTGAACTAATTACTGAATGTGTCAATGAGGTTTATGTGTATTGTTGGTTGAGAACATTTTTTTATAAATTAATAATATAATTACTTTAACCCGTTTGATAAATTTAATAATGTTAAAATTATAAAAATAAATCTAAAATTAATAGTAAATAATAGCAAATCAAAATTAAAGGTTTTTTAAAATAGTTTTAAAAAGTATTTTAAAAAATACTTTTTGCGCATTTTTTCCAATAAAAATTTGTTATTTTATATACAGGATGTTGACTGCTGTTATGTATCAATTACTATGATCCCAACTTTCTTATTTTAAATGAAACATTGGTTATATTATAAAAATTTTGGATTCTGAACAAAATTCCCAGAACTTTGGTATATTGCATGTTATAGTTTTAATTAACTTATTTTAGGATACAGGGTGGTTAATGAGTAGATCACTCTCTACGTGTCTCCTTATGACTTTAAAAGGTTCTATACTTAATTTCAATAAAGAAGAGTGAGTTAATTTTCGTATGTTCGTTCATTTAGTGACTTCTCCTTAATATTTGTAGCCACATCCTACTACATTCTAAGGAGGAATTATTTATTTAACTAATTTAACATAATAAGAACAGCTTCTTTGACTTTTCTCTTTTATCATCTGTTTCTTTACATGGCATTTCGCAAATAATGAAGCCGCAGACCAAAATGATAAACTTTTCAAAATCAGTGAGTTACTAAAAAACTCAACCAATTGTTCAAGCTCAAGTTGTCCTTGGAGAATTTATCTGCATAGACGAAACTTAGGTGCCATTTAAGGGGCGCTTGAAATTCAAACAATACATAAAAAACAAACGTCACAAATTTGGCTTCAAATTGTTCAAAGTATGCCTTGATGGTGGCTACCTATATAACACTAACATATATTGTGGCAAAGAAGATAGGGGTCATGATCTTACAGTACCTTCACAAAACAGTTCTAACACTAAGTGCAGATTTACTGAATGCTGGACGAACACTTTGTATGGACAATTATTACTCAAGTGGTGAGCTTGCTCATGTTCTTCTAAAAAATACTTACTGTATATATTTTTTAACCTCTTGCCACAACTATCATGAATTTCTACCCCTAGAGACAGCTTCGTAGTTTATTTATATAAAGTGTACTGGTGTTATTCTTTCACAATTATCACAGGCAACCTTCCATTTTTGTTAGTAAATAAGTTATTCTGAAATCAAACAAACAAAAATACGTCAAAATGGAGCTATCCTAGCTGTAGAGACAAAAATGAATGAGTTTGAGCATTAATTAGTGAATGGGGAGAAAAATTTTACAAGTGGTATAGAGAATTTGCTTTAGCAGTTAAAATTTATGTGTTTTATTGGAAGCATCCAATTTAAAAGACTACCTTCATAACCCTACCCTTATGCCGATAATAACTATCCACATAATTATTCCTATATAATGGATGTATTCCTTTATCGGATAATTCCTTTATTGGATGGAATAAAATAAACATACGTTTTGGTAGTTAAGCTACTGTGGCAATGTCTTCTATGCTCATTTTAATTTGTAGAAACAAGTTTAATAAGATTTATTTTTAGGTGGTTCTGATCATGGAAGCCCTTAAGTTGATAACCAAAAAGAAAATATAAAAAATTTAAACAAAATTGATGAGTTTGAAGCCTTAAGGGGACAGTCTCATGCGAAACTTTCAAAAAATCAATTTTTTTTTACATAAATCGCTTCCATTTACATTCAAAAACTCCCTCCTAAAATTTTAAAAAGAAATTCCCACTATAAGTTATAGTTATTTTATTAACGTCATCTACGCACGTATGAAAACCGGTTTCTCTCCGCGCGGCGAGCGCGAGGATCCAACTGTTCTTGCTTTTGTATATATGTTGTATATACGTTGGGTATGTATTAGTTATTCATTTTTATATAGTATGTATATCTGTATAACGTTTGGCACT